TATTACAACACTCTTCACGGTTGTGATTTCTATTGTGTTTTCCTCATTAATTATTCATGAGTTTTACAATTATTATTACTGTCTTACCCATCAGATTCTGTGATAAAGCATTCGTATCTCTTAAAAATATCTTCGGACATACCAAGCAAATCCTGAAATTCAATTAGCATCGCGTTCATTGGTTAAACTTTTACGATTAGATTCTATTAACCGAGCGCGCGGTTCACCCAACAGAATTTAGACCGGAGAAAAATCAAGATCAACCAATCAAATCACTCCATTAACTCRCGTCCAGACTACAGTATACACGGTTTTTCACATCATATAGCTTTAATATAGTACGCATGCTGTGATTGGCGAGATGTACTTAAAATGAGTACTCCATTACCTTACACCCCCATATRTTAGAGTCTGCAAGGATACGCGTTCTATAGACCATATGAAAAAGGGCGTGGCTATCATAACTCCTTAGTTTATACGATTTTTATTGTATCATTGCTACCCATTGAAAGACCACATCACAATGAATAAGATCTGAAAGTTTCATTGCTCATACATTTAAGGACCAGAAATTACAGGTGTTTGAAGTTGCAAAGATTTGAGTGAAAATGAGTATGGAGGCCTGACCAGCCTCGTTTTCACGTTTTAGTGTTACATTTCAAATGCTTGTAACTCTGCTGATATTCAACATTTGAAACTAAAACTCTGCCAATTTACTAGTTGAGATATACTCCTTCGTATGGTGAAAACAGATGTTTAAAAATATGGAGCGTTTAATGTGCTCATTCCCAGTCCTCTGCTCGTTTTTCATATGGTCAATATAACACCATAGAAAGTTGAGATCTTTTTATTTAAGAAATATAAAACGACGCGCGTGTCTCTGTCCTCTGATATACACAAGGTGAGAAGCAAGCTCACTTTCTCTTGCTTCTCGAGTGCTTTTCAACTCCCACCGTGTTTATATCAGAGGGCAGAGACACAAATGCGCCCGTTTTATAAGATTTCTCTACGTTCTTAGCRAAAAACAAATTTTGCCGGTAAATTTTATAAAGTGAAATAAAATAAAAAATGTTGCTAACATCAGTTGGTGGTGGTCTTACCAGCGCGTAGGGTCCAGCGCATGCGCAACCTGCTCTGGCTTGAATTCCATAGAGATCGTTCAGCAATGCAGACATGAAGTTGTGATGTAAAAGTTTGCCACTCTGACGGTGATAGACGACGAAGGAAAATATCGGTAGCCTTCGAGCCTTTGTACTTCCGAGGATGGTGAGGTTGGGATTCCTGTTCCAGATTTCAAAGGCTTTTCTTTGGAATAAAAGATGAGTGAATGAGCTACTTGAAGAGCTTTAAAAAACAACAACTTTAGTGGACTTGTCGAAAGGAGTAATACCAATAGCTACAAAAACAACAGCAACCACAACATTTCCAATAACAGCACATCATAATCGCCATAGGCTAGTAAGAGAATCCGGTTAAAAAGCAGCTTTGCAATCCGGAACTGGTCCGTATCCCGGGAGCCAGAATCCAGCAAAAATTTTGAAATCCAAAAAAAAAAAAAAAAAAAAAAAATTCTTGGGAATCCGGAATCTCAAGGCCTTAGATGAATCCAGAATCCAATGATCTCTGGATTCTCTTACATGGAGCGATAGGCAACAACGATAGCACTTTTTTTGGTGAACACTTGCGATTGCAAACTCTTCATTATTAATTCTGAGGTGTCCRTTATAACGAGGGTTGATGTCTGTACATACTGRCAAAGCTCTTCTTCTCTTTCTTCAATAAATTTTGTTCCAATACTCTGCAAAGTAAAATGGAATTGAAAACACCAGTAAAAAGTTAAACCTCAACAAGATTCTAATCTTAAATGTAAAGACTGCAAAGGATATTCTACATGGGCGCGCGGAGATAAGAAAAAGATCTCTCACGAGTCGGCGTATCTATTTTTCTGAAAATCGACCAAAACCCACCGCAAAAACTGCCAGTGTAAACCGGCGTTTTATAGTACTTYAAATGTATCTCAATCCGTGAATACCTGCTTTAATTGAAAGACCAAGCCGGCGCGTACTGATTCAATTATCGCTGGTGTTCCTCCTTCTTCCCTGCTCTCGATGTCCCTAAGGTAAAGGTGTTTGTCTCGTGTCACCTGAAAATTTGAGACAAATAGATTGCTCTGACATTAATGGACTTGTTTTTAAAATTTTCATCTTGAAGTAATAAATCTAGTTCTAAACTAAAATACTTAGTCCTTTACGCACACAAAAACCGCAGTTTATTGTATAAAACATAGCGCACGCTCTATAGATACATACGTAACGCAAGAGCTACAAAAACATAATTACAAGTGATATTGATGCTGAAAGGCTGAGTATCCTTGGTACTCATGCACTCGAGTATTGTACTTACAAAAACAACAGTTCCTCCACCGCATCCCCCTGGAACTGGATTATTGAAGACGTGACGTTTGGCGATAAGAACTCCTAAAAACAGACGAAATTCATTTTTATGAAGAATGTGCCAAAAATTAATGACATTTGAACGGGAAAAACGCATTAACTTTTACCAGGTGTACCGGGGCCACCGATAAACTTATGAGGAGAAAGAAAGACAGCGTCTTTGTACCTAAAAATGAATGGTTGGAAAGATGAATAAAACTAAGTGATGAATGAATAGAAAAAATATTGTAAGACAGATTTTGTTTTCCTGAGTTTTTTTTTTAATTGGAGTGTCTAAACGTCAGGCATCCTGACGTTTAGTCCCAGGACTAAGCATCAGGCAGTCGATTGTTTTTGTGAAAAATGGTCAGAACAACCGTGTAATTTCAATTAACTACGATAGTAGTGCTAACATACCCTGTCCTCGTGGGGTTGACGTCGATGTCAAGATATGGTGCCCCTGACGCGAAGTCCCAGAACGACAATGCCCCATACTTGTGGCACATTT